ATCAAATAATGAAATTATTACAGAATCATTACCATTCAATCCAGAAGACGTAATTGCGTTGCATCTGATCTCTTTTCCTGCATCTTTTGATTGTAAATGTGATATAATGATTGTACTCTTATCGTTTTTAAATATTGCGTTTGTTGACGTCAATGACTGATTATTTACAGTCCACTTGTAATCTACGATATTCCATGGACTCATTACTATACATGCAAATTCCAATGAATCACCAGCATTAAAATATGTTGTGCTAGCAATGATGGTGACCGTCGGGGGAGTTGCCACTGATATGGAACAATTCTGGTTCCCTTCAACGGCTGGACCATCAGCTCTACATGTGTAGACTGCTGTCTCATCTTGAACTGTCATTTCACGTGTAAATTCATAAAAATATGCAACATCGTCATTTTTATTACTTACAATATCTTCCTGCGTTGCTAATATTTCTCCGTTTCTGTACCATTGTAGCGATGGTCTTGGATAACCTCCATTAGCCATGCATGTCATCGTGACTTTATTCTTTGTGTTTAATGACGTAAAGTCAGCTTCGCATTGTGGATAGCTTTTATCCAACTTCGTTCCCTCGATGACTTCTAAAGTTGCTTTATTTGATGTAGATCCACGTTTACAGTAATATTGAGTTTCATCATCGTCCAATGTCGTATTTAATATTGTGAATCTACATTTTCCTCTTTGGTCATCAATAAAAACTGTATATTCTGATACAGTATTTGCACCCTCTTCCCAAAGTTTCGTTGAATCGTTGAAATTTCGGTCTACTTGATACCAAGACCATGTTTTATTCTCTGCACTGTTACATACAAATGAAGCATTTCCTCCGACAAGCACCTGAAGATTCAGTGGTCGTATGGTGGTTTGAGCAACAACATAACAGTTGTAATAACTAATGGCTACAAAAAGCAACCACCATCGAAGCTGAAACTCATAATGACATGCTAACATCTTACTTCACTTATTGACTTGCTAATTTAAACTAGAAAAACGTTCATATAATACTGAACGTTTGAATTGTAATACATTCGCCCAACAAATACTCTTCCGCATATATGTTTCTCTATTTTTGTATATACGTTATGCATCATAGAGCTGGAAGTGACTTCAATACACAACCTGAATAAACATGTTTTATTTACATAGCCAATTTCCTTATATATGTGGGGTCTACATTACGTATGTTATGGCTTCCTGCTTTCATCAATAGTTCTATTTGTTTAATTTACGTTACATAATCAGTACTCTATTGCTTGATAACAGCAGTGGCGGCTCTAGGATGTATTTTCTGGGGGGGGGGGCTAAGTTGT